ATCTCTATTCTTTTTCCTTTTATGAATAAACCTTTAGATTTTAGATTCTAAAGGATTGGCAACAGCGTGATTTGTGGGTAAGATCTGATTCGTATATTGACCTGGGTCTGGGGCTTGGTCCTTTGGGATCAGGAGAACCTTTTTCTTTTACTGGGGTATTGGTTTTCATAACCATTTGTCCCCATAACTGGTGGTAATACTGGGAAACTGGAGTGTCTAAGGAGATTGCTTGTGAGACTTGCAGTTAGCCAGTGGGGTGAGATCGAAGTCCTCTTAGTCTGGCTGGTTTGGTTTGCCTTAGAGGTCGAAAAAACCCCAGCCTTGGGCTGTAACTGCCCTGTTGAGCAATTTGTCCTGAGTTGGCACTCTCAGTTGGGTTCCGCCAGAACCGCATTGTCACAAGGGGCTTTGGGGAATATTTTCCAGTCTAGAGAACAGGGTTGCGTTATTCCCTTTGGGGGGGTGGAGGCCCCGGGGGTCCAGAGCGAGTGGACTCCCTGAGGGGGCCCACGGCAGAGACAGATGTGCTATGGCTCAGAGAGGTGCGGCTCCAGGAGGTGGAGGGACCTGACCCTGAGAGAGAGTGGACCCCCGAGAAGGGCTGTCACACTGAAGGGAGTTCCCCCCAGGGACCGCACGGGGCCAAGAGTGGGCACGATCTGTGAGTCCGTGACACAGGATAAAGGGGGCTGCCAGTCATGAGAAATCCCCTAGCTACCACCTGAGCTGGAACAAGGGCTGTACCAGGTGAAAGGATTGGGCCCAGACTAGGAAGGAGTCTAGTCTGTGAAAGAGGCTTATTGGAACATCTCTGAGGGTGAGATTTACCTGTATTCAGTTTCTTAATGTATCAGGCTTAGACTTGCGTGTTTTGTTTTATTTTGCTTTGTGACTGACTTTGTTCTGTCTGTTATTACTTGGAACCACTTACATCCTACTTTTTATAATTATTTAATACCTGGGGGCGCAAACAGCTGTGCAGATCTATCAGTGATATAGAGTGGGGACAATTTATGAGTTTACCCCGTATAAGCTTTATACAGAGTAAAACGGATTGATTTGGGGTTTGGATCCCATTGGGAGCTGGGTGTCTGGGTGCTGGAGATAGGTGACCTGCTGGGCAGTTTTTGGTTGAAGTCTTCAGCTTTGGGGGTGTGGACCAGACCTGGGTCTGTGTTGCAGCAGGCTGGCGTCTGGCTCCACAAGGCAGGGTTCTGGAGTCCCAAACTGGCAGGGAAAACAGGCTCAGAGGTAACTTCAGCACGTCAGGTGACAGTCCCAAGGGGGTCTCTGTGACCAAACCTGTGACAGGGAGACCCCACGGAGACTCCCATGTTCTCCCTGGCCTGCTCTGTCCACACCCCCGTCTGTCAAGCCCCCTCCCAGCCAGGTATGGGGCAGCAGCTCCCCCATCCCACTGGGCACAGGGGGGCCATCGTTCTCTGAGGTCTCCTGCAGATGCCACTGCCCAGGGCAGGGTGCAAAGAGAGGGGTGCAGCCCCTGCCCAGTGCGCCCTGGGCTTGGTGGAGAGGGAGAGGTGCATTCGGAGAGCTCCTTCCCCAATCCCCGGGGGGCAGACGTGGTGTCCCCTGAGGCCCGGTGCAGTGAGCCTGGCCCCATCTCCATGGGGCATGCGGCATTTCCTCCCTCTTGTGCTGCGGGGCTAAGCACACGCTGGCTGCCCGGGCACCACCGCCGAGGTATGTGTTGGCTACGGGGTGACGGTACATCCCGATTTGGCCAGA